GTTCGATGTTGGTTCTTCAACCGGATCAGAAAATCTTGCAAGCTCGCGAAAAAAGATGTTTTGTAAAAATAACTATAACCCATTCATTTACTGAAACAATGTGTTTTTTGGACACTGGTAAATCACAATTTTTGAAAATAATTATTATTGAGAAAGAAATTTATGATGTCAACTTACGAAGAATAACAAATTACGAACTTGCAAACCTGTCTACATAATATATGAGCTCAAGTAACAATTTGATATCATGCCGCTTGATACCGAGCTGACCAAGATATTACAATATTATACCGTTTATGCAATTAGTGTTTTCTGTAGTTAATTAACATGTTTACGTACATGAAATAACAAAACTATCAAAGATTGGAATTTCTTCTCGTGGAATTATAAGATGTTAATAATTGGGTTTAATTTCTCCAACGGAATGCGTAGACAGAAATTGCCATTGTATTCGCTGATCATTAGTTAACGATATGTATATATATATATATATATGTATATAATATATATATATATATATATATATATATACAAACACAAATTCAATCAGAAAAATAGCTTTTCAAGGTATTTATTGCAATTTTTAGGAGCATCATCAGACATCTGGTCAGGAACAAAATATGAATAAATAATAATAGAAAAAAGGATCATACAAAATTCGATTGGGCGGATTATTCTTCTAAAACACGTTTTTATGATTATGATAATTTTCCTAAAATTTAGCTTTCTTAAAAATTGGTCAAACGATTATAACAACAGAAAACTTCAATAAATCTGAACTATTTTATCTCGACTCATAATTTAACCTATATTACACGGTATAAATACATTTATCAAACAAAAAAATATTTGTTTTGATTTTGGTTTGATATAAACGAAATTATATCTGCTTTTACGAAAACAACACATGTTGAGATCATTAACCAAGAATTGATTTTGGAATGTGCTAATTGATATTTTAGATACTATGTACAGAATTTGAGAGCTCATCATTTTGGGATTAATATTGAAAAATATATATATATATATAAATTGACGATTAATTGATAAAAGTGTTTAAAATTAAGTTTGAATTCTTAAGACAATTTCAATTTTTTTTTCCATCACTTCAAGTGTGGAATTTATCTCAAAACTCCTGACCTTATTAGCACCTACCAGGTGGTCATAATTGACCTGTGACAAAACAAATCGTAAAAAAGAAAGTGCAATGAAAAGCTTTTGTATTAAAAGAATGAAAGTATTTTTTTATATGCCTGATATCAGATACAAGATAATGTGAATGATTGACGAGGCCTTTTCAACTAGAGATGTCTTTATCAGAGAGAATTGAAATGTATTGTAAATTAATAATATATTTAGATAAACTGTTTTATCTAAATATTACAAGTTTAAGATCAAGAGTTAATGAAGAATCATTTTTTCAAAATAAAATTTAAAAATAAAATAAATTCTTGTTTAATAATTAAAATTTGCAATATTAAAAACATTTGGTAATTGATTGAACAAAAATAAGTGAAATGAAAAATTTGTGGTTTTATGAGCAGTTGTGTTATATTTTACGTAGTATTTGCTAAATGTCCTAAACTGGACACTTGTAAATATAAGATTGAATAACAAAATAGTACGTAGTTTTTCATATAGCAACCTAGTCGCTATTATTTGATAAAATTTTATTAATCGAATATCTAATATTGCTATAATTAATACGTTTTTAATTTGATGCAGCAATTACTGAAATCATTAGAAATTAACAATAAAAGTGCAATCATTAAATTTTATTATTATTTACTAATAATGGAATTATTAATTGAAAGTATTATATGGCATTTTTCATTATATTATTAACTTTCCGTAGGGTAAGTTATCGTAATCGTCCAAAAATCGAAATTGAAAATTTTTGCATTTCTTGACGTTTTGAAGGTTGCTGAACATTTTGGCATACCTCAGGAAAAATGGATGTGTGTGTGTATGTGTGTATAGATACAATTTTTCGGTCACGTTTTCGGGCGCACGGATCAACCGATTTGAATGGTTCAAAAAACATTCGATTCCTATTGATAGGGATATGTGCTGATTAGTTTTTGGCAAAGGCAGGTCCAGCAGTTACGGAGATAAAGAGCAAAGAGTGCAGAAAATAGAAATCGAGTATTGAGAGAACGTGGCATCCGATTTGAATGATCTAAAATCATTCAGTTAGTAATGATTGGAAGAAGTGGTTATTAGTTTTCAGCAAAGACAGACCCGGCCATTTCGAAGATACAGTGCTAAATGTGCAAAATATGGGAGTTTTTGAGAGAAACTAAGCGTCCGATTTAAATGATTCAAAGAACTTTATGCTTGTTTTACAAAATAATTGATTTTGGAAATCAAAAATTTTGTTACAATTTTTTTTCAGAAAAAAATTTTTTGTCGAAAATAATGCAGATTTTATTTTTAATTCTGACTAAATACTTTAAACAAAGATTTTCAACTTTGCAATTCAGTTTATATAATCCTTATTAATATTAGACAATGTTACAATATTTATAATAATCTATTTGAAAACATTCAATATTCCTCGAACATTTCGTTACGGTACGGGAAGTTCCAGCAATTTGCCTTAAGGCACGATGCCATACACCGCACTAGTTTTAATTTCTATATGGTTATTATTTTTATTCAAAACACGACACTAATTTTAATAAAGTATTCTATCATTTTTTTAAAAAATATTTGTAACAAATGTTAAATTTTGAAAATTTTTACAAAATCTTGAAACAAATGTTTTATCGTATTGTAAAATTATTCAGCGCTTGCAGAATTTTAAAAAATGTGCAGACTACCTATACTAAAAATTTGTACAAAACGTTATTTTTCAGTGATATCTTATAGACTTAAAAAAATATTATTGTATTGTATTCGAATAATAAATTAATAATTGGTTAAATAAAGATTAAATGCATTTATCATTATCGTGGCATTGTGCTTCAAAAAAGGAAATTTTCTTTAGACTTATTAAGTAATCAATTATGGAGCATACAATTATTTTCCATAAGAATAACTTTCCAGCAACTCGTCTTATAGGATTATAAAAAATATGTAATTTTGATCGTCTGTTATAATAAAAAAAAAAAGTTACATAATATTGTAATTAAAAGTAAATGCCTTCAATGAATTAATTTCGCCAATTCCTTAGATCATATATATTTAAAAAAAACAATTATAATTTCATTTATTATCAAATATATTCCGACTTCTATTAACAAAGAAATTTAGGTACTGCAACTATTTTTTAGGTTATTACAGGACATTTGCAAACGCCATGTGCCTTGTGCAATGTATTGGATGTACAAGCGATTTGCTTGAATAGGAAATTTTAAATAAATGTGCATACAACAATACTCTTCAGTTTCTAATAAATAACATGCAGTTTTAAACTATTAATATTAAAAATATAAACATATTAATAAATTAAAAAATACTCACATTGTACATTTACCATAATCGTGATCAACTTGCTGCATGGCGCGCATTGCAGGTATATAAACCATATCAAGTTTTTCACCATTATTTACCCATTTCACTATTATTTTCTCAAGAAGTTTATTCAACACACATTTGCACTGTTAAACTGTGTTATTCGGTTAACACTAATACACACGGCCGATTTAAAAATACATACTGACTGCGAAATACCTGCGGCGTCAAAATTATTGAAGCAAATAAATAGGAATTACATAAGATGGGCGATTGACCCATTGCACTCCAGAGACAAATTGCAACCAATAATAATAGAATATCGACTAATTCTTAATATAATAATCAATAAATATTGATCAATTCTTTGTGAACTTTGTACTTGATGTGACTTTAGAATAAACAATGCTGCCACTAGCCTTACAACAATGTTTGTAGATTAACCCGGCAACAAAAAGTTGCCGCGTTTTTATTTTTGGGAATAAAAATCAATTGCCAACCTGTATCGATCACAGTATTGATTACAGCCGTATGATGGCTCTGTGGAATATTTAGGCAAGCCAAAGTGGCATAAGCAAAAAATTGTAATGCAGGCAACACATTTGAAAAAAATTGCAACTAGAAATTTTACTTAGAAATATACCTATTGGATTATTAATTTAAAGTTATATGATTCTAACCATAATATTTTACTATGAGCTGGCGTTTATCCTAGTATTTTTTCTCGAGATGGCAACCCAGTGGTCAACCGCTCTTTTGTCTCATTTGTAGTCTACGTATATTAGATATGTATAAAATATTAATCGATCCTTGAATATTATCTGAAATCAATTTATCAAGACGCATTTACTACAGAATTCTCTGATACTAATTAAATTAAATAATATTTTGATAAATTATAAAAGGAGTAAATTATTAAATAATCATTCACACAAGTGGAAAATAAATTTGGCATCCAACATGCTTAAAAACACGAAAAACAACACTGATAGATTGTTGTTATATTTTGAGTCAGTGGTTTCCAACCTTTTTCGCGCCTATAATTGTCGCGCTCTTCTTAATTTTATCAATAATTTTGTTTCATGAATTCTCGACTGATATTATTAGACTACTACAAATTAATATGCAATATCATGTAAAAATATGCATGAAAAATAATTAGTTTTTCGTTCATTTTTTATATCATTTCATATTTTTTGTTTATTTTTGGAAATTGTATTTTGAAAACAGCTGTATGCCCCACTTTGCGTCCCACAGATTGGAAACCACAAACTTAAACTTAAGTTTAAGTAAGAAAACAAAATTTAAAAGACTGATAGCTTGCTGTGATACCTTGAGTCAGGGGTTTCCAACCTTTTACTCACCGCACCTCTTCGTTCTAATAAAATAATAAAAATGTCACGCTCTCTTTAATTTTTAATTATAAAAACAATTTATAATTATATATCAATAACATTTTGCTCTTTTTTATCAAATATGATCAAATTTGAAATTTGAATGTTAGTATTTTGAAAATATGATTTTAATATGTTATATTTTTTCAGGTACAATAAACAGAAACTTTCACAGAACAAGAAGAGATGCAAACGACGGTAAGATAAAATCCAAACTTCTTAAAAAATTGTGTAAATCTTTAAAAAATGATAACTATTTGTACAAATTGTTTTTTGAATGATTGCTTTGAATGAGTGAACATAGTAACAGCAACAAATTTACAATTGGAAATGACTGAATTTTTAGAAAACTATATAATGGTGATGGAGAAAACTTTAGATAATTTCCTACATTCAAAATTTTACTAGATTTATTAGTAGTTAAAAATGAATCTAAAATTGTGATTGTTGTAATCACTTTACATATACCTTTTTAAATAACATCTTTATACGAATAAAATCTTTGATTTATTAGATAAACAATTTTAGTTTGTAACATTCATTTAATTTCTAATAAAATTTAGTTTTGCAAAATTCACAGCTTTATGAATTTCTGAATAATCTTTAACTTCATAAATTTATAACTAGTATATAAATTTCCGACATAATACATAATTTGACTTTAAATTTATAAAGTATGACGATACATTAAAATTAGTTGTGTGAAATGTCAAATGATGTTGGAGTGATTAGTGTAAAATTGTACAATTGTCGTTGTCAGAAAATTTTGTATATAAAAGTATTATGAATATCTTTATAACTATGTTCATATCAGTGTATTATACCATCAGTAAAGCATGCAATGTATTATTTTATGTATTGAAATTCTAATGTATATGTATGTAGCTTATTTGTACAACAAAAATTTAATCTGATTTGGAATACAGTTTGATCAAATTTTGGGTGAAAAATTATATATATTCAATAAAAAATATTGCTGATGTCTAAATTCTGTTCGCTTTGTCAAAATTTATTTTATACGCTTATACTGTTAACGGTTGCTTAATTTTGTTGTGCGTTTCACTATTTTCTAAAACTTTTATTAATTCTGCTACATATACACTATCTAATAAGTTTGTTATGTATTTGAAAAATAAACTTTTGTATGAGTTTGGTGAATGATGTATGTATCTATATATCTTTTGTAAATAACTAAGATCATTTTATCTTTGTTTCTTGACTTCTGTCTACTTGCCAACTCCAACCTGACCGCTCGGATTATAGATGTGACCACCGTTCTATTGGTGAACAATAACCGAGCGGCACATGGAAGATTCCTCAACGTGAAACCAGACGTCGGTTTATTGACATCGACTGCACGTACCTTCATCCAAGAAGGGGTGACGACACAGTATGCAACACAAGTACTAGGCACAACACTGGACAACGGACGACTATACGCCCAATTGTTGACCAAAAGCTCACGAGTACTTTACGACAACAACGACGCATTACCGTCCCGTTCACATAACGACATCACTTACAAGAAATGGCACATAGACGATGGTCCGCGTGGCGAGGCGGTTCAATTCATAAAAAACACCGATTACATAACACCAGACAAAGCAGGTGCCTATCTCGTATTTCCCACATCCCGCACTCCTAATTCCTCTCCCTATAAATTTGTCGAGAGACAGCATCAGAATGTGGATGCACAACCAATGGAAATAGTCACTGCTTCATATATTCGCGAAGATAAACCATTCCAAGAAACACCCACATTTGAACGCTTAGTACAAGAAAAACCAATAACTTATCGTGAAAGTAAATCGGAATCATTTAGCGTATCTCGAAATGGCCACGAAACGCGCGAAAACGAAGTTGCAGCTGAAATTAATGCTTCCAAGATAAAAGCTGAAGAAACATTACCAACTTATACAGTGCGCAATGAATTCTCTCCGAGTGGATTTTATTATGAAGAACCTTATGTTGGCGCTTATACTGAACGAAATAAGCCAAGCACAGTTTCTGATTCTAAAAGGGGTGGAAAAATGTTATATCGTGGTGGAGTTGCTATACAGCAAGAATTACAAAGTCTCAGTACCGTTACTTATCTCGGATTTGCAGATTTTACAACTATTGTCGGAGATACCGTAATTGTATTTTCACCGCATACAGCTACTAAGCAACCTGATCTTGGGCACGTTACAACAGTTTCTGGAGCAGCTACTGTGCAATCAACAGCATCTGCATCAGTTTCAAATAATAAAAAAACTATATACCAAGACCAAATAAGCGCAACAAAATCTGAAACGGAACATAAAAAAAGTATGGCTTCTGCATTACCTACTTTAAATTTAAATCCAGTCGATGAACGAAAAAGCAAATCTATATCTCACTCTACTCAATTTGAGGAGGAAACTACGGAACAGATAAAACCAATCACAGATATTTCAGATATTGAACATGAAGATATCGAAGCTAAGTCATCAGTTTTAGCTCATGAGCAAAACACGTCCAAATATGAAACAACAACGCTCGAAGAAGAACAGATATTAACCGTGTCCCCAGAAAGTATTGAACCTTCGGAAACAACTACACCTTTAATGCTGTCAACTCCTTCAGATGAAGATATTGCTAAAATATTTGCATCGCTGGCGGCAGCTGCTCAGGCTACTGAACCTTTAAGTTCAAGTTCTAGTCATATAGAAGAACAAAGTACTGAAATTGCAACATCGGTATTGGGCGGTGCTACTACTATATTTTTCGAGGATGACATTATTGCAACACCCACGTTGGATGTTACTAGCACGACAGAAACAACATCTGAAGAACCCTTCAATGAAAATACTAGCACAGAATATTACGAAGAACCGACGACAGAAGGTCTTATTGTGTCACCAGAGTCAGAAGTAAGCGCTCAACAAATTACTACAACAGAAGATATATCTATTCAAAATGAAGTAGTTACCATTGATCAAGAAGACTATATTACTAAATCTATTTCACAAGCAGCAACTACGGAAGTACTGCCAGAATCAAAAGATGTAACTGAAAAAGTCGAACATTCGACAGAATCAATCGAGGAAGAAGAATGCAAAGATAATAAGGTTACACCAACTACAACTTTCAAAACATTTACATACTTAACAACATTTTTCATCCCAGTTGATGCGGAAACAACTACAACTTCTATTAAATCGCATCAAGTAGTTAATACAGAAGTGTCATATATTACAGAACCATGTAATGTTGAAGCTACAACGATTGAAACTCCAATAAGTCCAACATCGGTACAACAAATTGAAAATGAAGCTACTGTAGGAGTTCATGAAACCACAACTGAAAATTATGAAAGCTCCACTGAAGAGGAAGAAATAACAACTCAGTTTGAAGAAATATCTGTAAAAGATAGTGTTCTAACTACAGAAAAGGAATCCTCTACAACAGATGCTACGTTGCCATCTACAATACCCATGGAAGTAGTAACTGAAATGAAACATGTAACAGAATCTACTACGACAGAAGAAACACCGGATGCAGAAGAAGAAATTGAACTTATATTTAAAACTCTTTACACTACCTATACATATTTAACAACATTTTTCCATGAATCAACGTCTAGTGTAAGTAGTAGAAAAGAGGTTGTCACCAATGTAATAACATCAACAGTAGATCAAGCTTTCATACAACAATCAGGTGATATGTTCCAATCTACTTTAAATGCGGCAGAGTCATTTACAGCTGTTGATGTTAACGAAATTAAGCCCACCAGTGTGGGAATTGGAAGACCAACGGCTACCTACGACATCGTCGATAGCGATTTATCTTATGAAGACGAATCTTCGGACATAGATGTAATACACACCGCCACACCAGCGTTAAATGAAATTCAATTGTTAGAAACAGCTCAAGCCGTTAAAACATACTATACTACATACACATATTTCACGACTATATTTGTAGATGGAGAGACTGAAATTTCTAGTCGGACTGAAGTATATACAAACTACGTTACTCCTGCAATTGATGCAACAAGCCTGCGAGATGTGATTGAAAAACCTTTAAGCACAAATAGCGAATTAACTGTACACGCAGAAGATAACGATGTTACTCAACAAACAATTAATGCATACGATAGTACTATTACAAGAAATAAAATAATCGATTCATCAAATTATGAATATAATATAGCGAACGGTGATGAACAAAATGAAGTCACCCCAGATACAGCAACAATATCGTATAGCACGTTATCTCGAAACAACAATATAGACGATATAAATATTTTACAACTTGAAGACGGACAAACCATATCTACAATGGTTACTGATGTTCGAAGCAGCAGTTCGAATGGAGAAAGCCGAATAATAGATAATGTTGACAAAAGAAATATATTATTAGATGATCAAATTAGTTCGGAAAGTAATACGGATGAAATATTGCCATCCCCAACTTTATTATTGCAGACTAGTTTTACAACATTTACGTACTTCACTACAATGTACATAGGCAGCACTTCTAGCAACGTAGTAAGTAGATTAGAAACAATAACAAATGTTGTAACTGAGACACTTACGCCAACAAGAACCTTGAGCATTGAAGACTCCAGTTTACCAGTAACATACTTCACAACGTTTACGTATTGGACAACATTATACAAAGACGGTTCAACTACAATTACAAGCAGAGAAGAAACTATATCAAACATAGTAACTCCTGTTATTAATATAGAAGAGACTATATCACCCAAGAGCTTGCAAACACTGTCTATTGAAAGTACTCCCACTATTTTAGATGAACCAGTTTTAGCAACGGATGATGCCTATGAACCAACCACATTTTATACAACTTACACATATTTCACAACTTCTTACATTGGAGATAGTACCATACTAAATAGCAGACTAGAAACGATAACTAACATTGTTAACCATACTGATGCTACTGGACGTGCAATTGCAATAAATCCACCAAGTAAAAATACAATCGATAATAATAATATAAAGCCTGACAAAACTGCTGCACCTGAAAGTACTGCGTCATTTGCTACAGGGTTACTTTCTACAATCCTAAGTAGTGATATAAATAATGGCATTGTAACACTATTATCAACTGATGTATATGGCACTTACATCGATGGTCTCTACGCAAAAGTTTTAGAGAGTACGACACAAATT